TGGGATTGCGATCTGGAGCAACGCGAGGAATGAAGTTTGGCTTTGGATTTTRAAAAAAACGAGGGGAAGTTAACAATGGTGCCTTTTGAGGATTTCCCATATCTGAAATCTTGAGGGACTGAAGGGAGCTCTCTGCGGGGGTTTACTGGGAGTGTGGAGCAATTCATTCTCATGAAGTTTGGCAATTCTGGCTGCAGCAGAAACTGTCTTGACCTCAAACTTACGGGCCTGCATAGCAAGATGAGGATCCATATTACTCAGGAAAATGCTCAAAGAGTGAGCATCYYGAAGTGACACTCGAGCTAGAGCATTTTCAAATTTTTCCAAATACACCATGGTAGATTCACCYGCCTGCTTCACACTGACCAGCTCAGCTAAAGGGTCATCATACACATCACCAAAGTGAGAAGCCACAGCAAGAACATATTCTGGCCAGGATGGAAAATTCCCAAATCGATTATCCATATAAGAGAAATGCCATTTTGAAGCTTTACCGGTCATGTGCAACGAAGCTAGCTTCACTTTGCGCTCTGCTGAGGTGCCATTAAGATCAAAGTATTGCTCACAACGTTGGATCCAACCTCGCAAATCTGAACCGTCAAAACCCAGAAACTCGATCCTTGTCAACCGAGTTGAGAACCCGTTAGGCACCGTTGGGCTCCGATCAACTCCAAGTGAGGACTTCCCGGAAGATTCGTGCACAAATCGGCGAAGATCTGGAGGATCGGGGGGATGAGACTGAGTCGGAGAGGCTATTATACCTTCAGATGGAGATGCGCTCATCTCCGGCGGAGATTCAGAGAGGATCGGTGATTTCAGAGATAGATGTTGAACCATCATCCTTTCTAATCGATTGAGAGATTCATTCATGGAGTCGGTGGTTTGTCYAAGCCTATCGGTGGTTTGTTGAAGCTGATRGGTGGTTTGTTGAAGCCGATCGTGCCTCTCCACTTGCGTCGTCTGAGCTTGACGGAGCTCATCGAGTTGTCTGCTCATCTCGCTCGTTTGTTGTCTGGTTTCCACCGTCATCGTGAGTGCCGAGAACCGGTGGGCTCTGATACCAATGATAACGTAATCAAGAGTTAGGATAGATCCTTTCTAGTGATCTACTAAATAGATCCTAAGAAAGGTGATACCAGCTCTAGAAGATGGTTAAGATGAAGAAAATCCACCTCGAAGATACTGAATCAATGGAAGAAAGTGATGATGATCAGAGAGAAAACGAGAGGAAGAAGATAGATTGTTCTGGATTATTATTCCCAAAAAGCGTTGTCTTCTTACAAGTATTACTGTTGGTACGTAAACCAACTTAACCAACACTCTGGTTTTGATAAGCAAAATGAATTAAACCAAAAATACAATACCGATAATAGATGATAAAGAGGTTATACCGGATATGCCACATCCTATAACAACTCGATAGTTCTTGTATCATCATCAGTTAAGCATTGCACATGTTTCTTGTTCTGTAACTACTTTTTAAGAATATATATTTTGTGGTGTTACTGTTTTGTTGCGTTTTCAACATATAGCAAACATTCTTTTGGTGTTTTACAACTACTCACACTTGGTTTACATGATAAAAACGATTGAATTGCATCTTTTTTTTTGTGTGTGTGTGTGCCCAAACTCTAATTATATCAAATCAACCCGTAAATCCCAGATATGTTTTTGTTTCTTACACGAATCATGGATTTCCAACAAGTTTGATGATCAGAAAAAGATTTGGATTCTTTCTTCTATTGGTT